GAGGGGGAAAAGCAGGGGAGGGGCCGGCAGCTTGCTGCGTTCGGCGGGCACTCCAGCCCGGGAGTGCGGACCCCGTGGCTTGCCGCACCGGGGAGTGGTGCCATTTGCCCACCCCTGCATTAGGGTGTGTCTGGGCACACCCCATGCGCACGCCTATGAATACAGATAAGATCTCACCAGTTCCAGTAAGCTTCCTTTTACAGACTACTCTCTTGCAAGTCTGGGTCCAGCAATCACTCTCACCCCCTTTACTGTCCTTTGTTCCAGTTTTTCAAGTATCCTGGGGGGTGGAGAGGCTCTCTTTAGTCAACAGAAGCCAAAATGGAGGGGTCTCCCACAGGCTTAACTAGACTTTCTCTTGTGGGTGGAGACCCTCTCCTATGCAAAGTCCAGCTCCAAGATGGAGTCCTTGAGTCACCTGGGCAAGTCACATGTCCATGCATGACTCAGATTTTACAGGCAGAAGCCATTGCCCACATGGTATTTTGAATGTCTCCAGGAAGACCATGTGGATTGGAGCATTCCAAGATGCATTGTGCCTTAAGTGCTTCTTGATTGGGTACTTAACTTTGCAAATTACTTCCTCCAGGAACTGACCAAATGCTCTACTAAGGGTATTTAGAAATCAAGCCAGTACACAGCCAATATTCATAACTTTGAATACAAAAATGATAAATGCATACAAATAGGATTAATAGATTCAGTAGATCATAACCTTTACATAGATCTGTTATATGGCACAGGTAGCATAAAACCTATTCCAGTTATGTCATATTCCCATAAAGCATTATGGGGTACAACATCACAGGGGACACTAGATATTCGTGACAGACTGGGAAACAAGTTTGTCACAAGTTGCCCTAGTCATCAGGTCAACTGCCAGAAAACCTAACCTGTTGTGGAGCAGAAGCTTTAGCTGGAGCTGCTTTGAGTCCTGGTGGACTGAGCATAGTGCTGGGAGCACTATGAGTTCTCCCAGTCCTGCAACTGTACTGCAATGATGTTCCCACCTAGGTTTGTTAACTTACCTGGGTAAATTGGGGGATGGTGCTTGTCTAGCTTTGAAAAGCAATGACTTGTCTCTGCAGCTGGTGAGGACCGAGTATGGCAAGCTCTGACTTCCCTTCCTCTCCTTTCTCTCAGGGAACTGAGAGCAGCCCGTCTTGCTCAGACCTTCAGGAAGGACCAGTCCTTGGGATGTGCCAGACTAGAGTCTGAAACCTCTTCCAAACAGAACTGCAACAAGCGCCTGGTAGGAGGGAAGAATTCTCGCTCATTCAGCTTTACATGGGGGGGTTACTGAAAATCCCATCATCCAAACTGTTCAGGCTGACAAGTGTCCCTGTGGAAGCAGAAGACCCATACAGACCAAAGTGCCATGCTAAAACTCCCTGGAGTAGTTCTTGCCTCCTCATCATTCATACAGCTTCATGCTGTCATGACTGGAAGTGACTAGTGTACAAATGTCTGAGACCTTCTCCACCCAATATAAACTACAATGCTTCAGTCTTGTATCTCTTAAACCAGTTATTTCTGATGCAATGGGCTGGCTGACCTATGTGTTAGTTTTGGTTGTATTCTAGGCTAGGAATAGTTTGATTCCCTTCTTCTCTCATGCAGCTAAACTAGGGCCTTTTTTTCTCCTCCTCCTCCCCCCCCTCCCCCCCCGAGACCTTTCTGTGGCCTTGACATTCTGGCTGTGCAGGTACACTGAAAAGGGGCATCGGCAGGTCCAAAGAGGAGATAGTGTCCTGAGCTATGAATGGCCTTACCACTTAGCTCCTGATGGAGCAAAGGGAGTTAAGCATGATACCACCTAGTCAAATTGGGATTTGAGCTTTGGGACAAGCTCGTTAAGACCACAGTCCTGAGATACTTCAGATCAATGTGAAATGAACTAAGTGGCATTGCATTGTGGGAAGAAAGCACAAAGTAACTCAATGTCTTTACTGTTAAATGAGTTTCCTGCAGAATCTGAAGGAACGTTTTCCTTTCTAAAAACATCCATAACCATTATGTGGCTGGGCTTCTGGGGGCTAGCTCCTGAAGCCTGATCTTTGGATTTGTGAGGGCTTTTTGCCCAGTTGAACAGATGGCCCATAGGATACAACCTCTCTAACGTGGTGATGGGTGGGTCTATAATATCCTCTTTCCTTTCTGCAGAGCTACAGATAGAGTTGCCTGTCTGCGGGATTTGTCTTTCAGCAAAGTGGAGGGAAGGTTGAAGTGGTTTTTTAGAATCCTTCAGTTTGGGGATTGCTTATATAAAGTGTTAAATCTAAAACTCAAAATAAATTGTATCCCCCTGTTATGTTTAACTCTGTGACATTGTTTCTTATTGAATATCTTCTAGCCCAAAATCCCTGGGAGTTAGAGCTATGACTGGGGCAGTATTTCTAGAAAAAGATTCTAAGCCCTCGACTATTTTGATTACTTGGCTTTTGTTTGTATTTTATTTAATTTATTTAATTTCACTTCCAGCTGCTGGACAGCATCAGACTTTAAGCTGTTGAGTCCTTCCCCTTTATTTTTTAAAGTGGAACATGCAAATAAAGATTTTACCATTCTTTTTATCCAAGACAACTGTGTGTGGGACTTTTTTTTTTTAGGATGGGGAAGGTGTTCAAAAGTGGGTCTTAAAGACCAGACATGTGCAAAATACTTATCACGCCCAAATGTGTATGTAAGGCACTGGATGATGGAATCTTTCAACTCTAGGCCATCAGCTCAACTCTGCTCAATGAGTTGGCTACTGCCCTGTCATTAGACTGTACCGGGAGCAGGGGAGGAAGAGGAGGAAAAGGTTAGTTTGTTTCCATGTGCTAATGGACACGTGGCTTTTGTGATATGGACAGAACTGGCATCCCTGCCAGTAGTCTCGAGGGGAGCAAAGATCTGAATGGACATGGAAATGCTGAACTACCTCCAGCCCAAGACCACCTTGTAGTTGGAGCTAAGGACAGTAGCCAGGAAAGCTTTTATGAACTGGCCCCACCAAATCTGGTCTGTTCAAACTTCAGTGTTTCCTTTGACAAAGCATTTATCATACTCTGTTTCAAAACTATTGATACCCAACAGTAGGGCCTTTATACTACTAAAACCACTTTTCAAACTTGCTGAATCAGTTGATTTTTCGCTAGTAATGATCAAATCTAGAAATACCAGGAAATTGCCCAGCATTTAATGTAGTGAGTTTCCTGAGACTAGAACTAATGAAGATTTTGAATTGATGGGTCTATCTGATTAAAATATACTATCATGGTAACTCTACCAGACTTTTTGAAGTCTCTCCACCTAAAAAGTTCAAGTTTAAGGCTTGCTGAGACTAAAGCATGACAAATGTTGACTTAAAACTTGTGTACTGATGGAAGAAAGGTGTGGTTTTTTTTTTTAAATAATCTAAGATGGTAGTTGTAGGTTAAGAAAGGAGTCTTGCTCCTTTGATATCTTAAGGAACTTGACTGTAGCATGTTCTCAGTGACTAATAAGCTTGTCAAAGGAGTGGGCAGTTCGGTGGGAAAGCCAATTTTGTACTTTAAATAGAAATGTTCAGCAGTGTTTGGTACTATTCCATGTGAGAAACTTTACTTTCAGCTGTTGTGTTGGAGAACTCAATAACAACTGACAGGAAACAATGTAGCCTAGAAGTGCATCCTTAGCCCTTACTTTCTGTTTATGCCCCAAAATAGGATTTCACTCCAGCATAACTTGGCAGAAAGCTGCTTTGGCTAAAATGCAATGACGTCTAGAAAATCAGCTGTCAAAACAATTTATTTCAGTCATTACTACTGTCAACTAAAATCTGATTTTATCATTTGGGGGAAAATGGCAATCGTAGTTGCAGAACTTAAATAAAAAAAAGTTAAACTCTACAAATGGTGTAGAACCGGGGTGGGCAAACTACAGCCCACAGGCTATGTCTGGCCTGTCAGAACTTTAAATCCAGCCCTTGAGCTGCTGCTGGGGAGTGGGGTCAGGGGCTTTCAGTGTTGTCCCGGAAGCAGCGGCATGTCCTTCCTCCAGCTCCCACACGTAGGGGCAGCCAGGGGGCTCCGCACACTGCCCCTGCCCCAAGTGCTGCCCCGCAGCTCCCATTGGCTGGGAAGCGTGCAGAGTCACCTGGCCGCGCCTCCACGTAGGAGCTGGAGGGGGGACCTGCTGCTGGGAGCTGCTTGAGATATGCGCTGCCTGGAGCCGGCACTCCTGAGCCCCCCCACACCCCAACCCCCTGCCGCAGCCCTGATTCCTCTCTCACCCTCCAAACCCCTCAATCTCAGCGTGGAGCTCCCTCCCAAACCCCTCAGGTCCACCCCAGAGTCTGCACCCCAGCCAGAGCCCTCAACCCCCTGCACCCCAATTTTGTGAACATTCATGACCCGCCATACAATTTCTATACTTAGATGTGACCCTCAGGCCAAAAAGTTTGCCCACTCCAATGTAGAACCATAGGGTTAGAAGGGACTGCAAGAGTCATCTAGTATAAACCCCTGCCAAGATGCAGATTTGTTGTGACTAAACCATTCAAGACAGATGGCTATCCAGCCTTCTCTTGAAAGCCTCCAGTGAAGGAGCTTTCACAACCTCCGTAGGCATCTGTTCCATTGTGCTACTGTTCTTACAGTTAGGAAGTTTTTCCTGAGATTTAATCTAAATCTGCTATGCTCTAGTTTGAACTTACTGATTCTTGTCCTTCCCTCTGGTGGCGAGAGAGAACTGTCTTCTCAATCTTTATTTTTTTTTTATGGCAGCCTTTCAAGTATTTCAAGATTCTCATGTCTCCCCTTAATCTCCTCTTTTCCAAACTAAACATACCCAGTTTTCAGCCTTTGCTCATTTCCCTTTGATAATCTTTGTGGCTTGCCTCTTGGTTCTTTCCAGTTTCTCTACATCCTTTCTATACAGTGGTGACCAAAATTGGACACACTACTCCAGCTGAGGCTGAACAGTGCAAAGTTGAATGGTAATGTCACCTCCTGTGATTTGCAAGTTATGTCTGTTAGTTCAACTTAAAATTGCATTTACTTGTTTTTGCAGCTGCATCACATTGCTGACTCATGTTGAGGTTGTGATCCACTAAAACTCCCAGATCCTTCTCAGCAGTGCTGCTGCCGTCAAGCAGGTTATCCCCCATTCTGTATTTGTGCATTTGATTTTATTTCCCAAAGTGTAACACCTTACATTTGTCTTTGTTAAATTTCATTTTGTAGTCTGTAACCCAGTTCTCCAATTTATCAAAATCCCTTTAGAATGTATGTTCTATCCTCCAAAATATTGGCAACACCCCTCTCCTGCCCTGCTTGGTGTCATCTGAAACTTTGATCAGTATGCTCCCTATTCCCACATCTAGGTCATTAATAAAGCTGTTAAACAACACCAGACCCAGAACAGATCCCTGTGGAACCCCACTTGAGGCCTCCCTCCAATCAGATGACATTCCATGAATAATTAGTTGTTTAACCAATTACGTATGCACTTAATGGTAGTTCTGCCAAGCCCACATTTCTCCAGCTTACTTATGAGAATGTCATGTGGGATAGGGCCTGTGTCAAAAACCTTGCTGAAGTCCAGGTATATTAGGTCCATCAAATTCCCCTTATCCACCAAACCAATTACTCTGTCAAAGGAAATCAAGCTGATTTATCATGATTTGTTCTTTGTAAATCCATGCAGGTTGCTAGCGATTACCTCTTCATCCTCCAGGTATTTGCAAAGAATGTTTATACATTGAACCTTCCCCGGTCTATAGTTCCCTGGCTCCTCCTCTTTTCAAGATGGGCACTACATTAACCCTTCTCCAGTCTTGCAGGACCTCTCCTGTCATCCATGAGTTTGCAAATATTGCCAGTGACTCAGATTTCTTCAGCTTATTCCTTCAGAGGTAAACAGCATCAGGCTGTGCTAATTTGAATTAATTCAAACTGGTCAGAAGATCTGATGTGTTGTTTACTTATCCCAATCTGCATCCCTTTCCTTTATTGTCTATAGTAACTTTGCTAGTCATCTGATCAAATGGGGAGTGTGTGTGTGTGTGTGTGTGTGTGAGATGAAGCAAAGTAGGCATTGAGCAGCTCTGCCTTCCTATCATCTTCCATTTCCAGCTTATCTTCTGCAGTGGGTGGGAGACTCGCACCTTCTTTGATGATTTTTGTTTTGTTTGACATATTTGAAGAACCCATTCTTGTTGTCTCTAACACTCCTTGCCAGCTGTAACTCATTCTCTGCCTGGGCTTTCCTGATTTTTGTCCCTACGCACTTCTGCTATTCCCATGTATAATTCCTTGGTGATGCACACATGCAGGAAATGGAAGGATCTTTTTTTTTTTTTTTTTTTTTTTCCTAGATAGCATTGGCCTCTTGTGGCAGTTCTTATCTTTCTGGAATAGCTTGAGTCTCTAGTATTGCATCTTTTAGGAATTGCCAGCTCCCTTCAACTCCTTTTCTTCCTTCTATTCTGAGTTGGTTGAAATCTGCCTTTCAAGTCTAGTGTCCTTGTTTTGTTCTCATGTCCTCCTTTCCTTAGGAGCTTGATTCCTTCCTCCTAAGTCCATGACCACCTTCCCGTTTGTTTTGGCCAATAAGAATGAATTAGTTGCAGATCTAAAATCGCTCGCTCTCTAGTTGTTTCCTCAACTTTCTGAATCCAATGTTTTGAGAATATTACAAGTGCCTGAAAAGGTTTTAACAAAATGCTTTTCAATTTTCTTTTAGCTCAACTGATTATCCATCAACTTACTATTCTCACACAGTCCGTTTCAGTGCTCTGAATGAAGTTAGGCAGGCTTCTCAGGTACTGTCTCTCCCCTAAGGGCACTCTCTCACCAGGCCAAGAAGCCTCCTTGGAGCATTCAGCATCCCTGTTCACACTGTGAGCTTCCTGCAGTGAGCCCACTGGGCTGGGACAGCTGGGGAAGCCTTATGTCCCCAAAGGGCAATGCACCCTAACATCAGTCAGCAATGACTCTCTGCTAGCATTGTAAAACAGAAGGGTTTACTAGTCAATGAAGACACAGCCTAGAGCAGATCTTCTTAGCCCAGAAATCAGGAATGTTCAACATAGTTCAGCATGGGGGAATTCAGAACCCTGAGCTCTCCCTCTGGGTCCCAAACTAGGAGATTCACCAGACACCATCAATTAGGCCCTGCTGCCTTGCCTCCTTCCTTTGTCTCTTTTGCAGGTAAATAGGTCACGGACCTGCACATCTCAATGTGTTCTCAAGTATCTCTGGCTGATTCTTGCATGAGATGGGCCCTAGACATCAGTTGCCTGGATACAGAGTGTCAGCTGTGGTTTGGGCCCAGGCACCTAGACAGCAGTTACACCTGCCCCCTAGGGGACTCTGCCATGATCACGCACCCTTGTCTCATCACTTAGATCAGGGGTCGGCAACCTTTCAGAAGTGGTGGGCCAAGTCTTCATTTATTCACTTTAATTTAAGGTTTTGCATGCCAGTACTACATTTTAACCTTTTTAGAAGGTGTCTTTCTATAAGTCTACAATATATAACTGTGGAAGCAGAGAAAAGAACTGACAGAAGGGAACTGCAATGCATGACGTTTG